GGCACCTGTTTGGCACAGAGCCAGTCACCCCCCGCCCCCCCCCCCCCCCACCATGTCAAGTTCCTTTGGAACTTAAAATCTAGCTAACGCTTCCAGCCAGAAATGCCGCCTTGGGCATGTGGTTCTGGCCAATCCGTCCATCCATTCATCCATCCATCACCTCCTGGATAGTGGGTTCCCTGAAGCTATACATTATCTTAAAATAAATGAAAACAGACCCATCTTGTAAAATCAGAGATCCAGAAACTAGCTCATGTCCCTGCCCCTCAGGGAAACATAGAAAGCCCTCAAGGGCATGCACAGTGTCCTTTACTTTTATTTTGCTTTCTTTTAAAACCAGGCACAGTGTGGGGCACACAGCAGGTCAGCAAATGCATGTTGAACGCATGCAGCACTGATTTCTCCACCTCTCTCACTTTTTCTGCTGGGTTCAGTCTTCTTGAATTCAAGGTTCACATGCCAGGGTTCAGGCGTTTGAGATGAAACCCAGCAAACTGTGTTTCTATTCACCTCTGCAGCTCTGCAGGTAACTTCGGTACAAATCCATTTATTGAATGTTTATCCAGCTCTGCCACTCACCTAACTATGTGATGTTGGGCAAGATATTTAACCCCTCTCTACCTTAGCTTCTCCAACAGAAATGTTAATAATAATACCTACTTCACTGTGTTGTTTTGATGATAAATTGAGATTATATTAAAAAAAAAACTCTTAGAACAGTGCATGGCACATAGGAAAATCTCAATAATGTCGGCTATTATTAGCAATTTAATTTTTCAGTTCAATATCCACTTGGAAAATGCTAACCTTGTGTCAACTTAATGAAGGGATAAAACTTTCCCGTAATTAGTCTGGGTAGGTAAGGCAACGGGCCCATCCTCGGTAGATGGGCAGAATTGTAATCCTCCACAGATCCCCAAAGGAATGGGTGGAAAGTATGTAACAGGGATTACTGGGTGTAACCGAGGTCTCAACTCCTTCTTCATAATATTCCTTCTCAGACAGTGAATGAGACACCTGCTTTGTATCAGGACGTACCCAGTCGGTGATGGAGGTGTGAGGCTCTGAGGTTTTTCTTCCCAACGTGGGAACAGCATCAGGAAGTTCAGCTAGCAGAGGTAACAACGGTTTAAGGAACAGGGGCTATCTTGAATACAGCATAGGGGATGTCCAGGGGAAAAATCTCACTCCCGCAACGTGTATAAATGCTAGGCTCGCTGCTGGGTGTGCCAGGGAGCACCCATGAACACATGGTACAGAGGAGGTGGTAAAAGAAGAGGGGGTGTGCTCATCGTCACTTAACCAAATGGGCAGCTGGACGGAGCGGCCTGAGGCCGTGGGAGGCTGGTCAGTGGGCTGACTGGCTGTGGACCAGATGGGTTTGGGGATCCCATGGAGATGGGTGAAATTCCAGCTTCACCCCCTCATCACTAAGAAACCAAGCGGGTGCCTGCAGGAGGCACCGGCAGCTCAGAAAGGGATTAGAGAACCAGATCTCTCTTGCCCCAGCCCCACAGAGACTCCAGATGCGGGCCCAGAATCCTGGCTCTCGCTCACATTCGACTGCTGGCTGAAGGAACCAGAGGCTCAATGATCCCAACAAGAACAAGAAAATAGCCAGGCAGGAGCCTGAAATCTGCACCCATTTGCCTAGAGTTGGTGAGCTGAAGAAAGATGCCAAGTGTCCAAAATGAGGCCACGGGGCAAGATGGCTGTGCCCGTCAGAAGATGCTAAATGGCCATGATGGGCATCACAGGGTAGCTTGAGACGTAAAGGCGGGCTCCCCTCTACGGTCCATTGGGAAACATAGCAATTCCCTCTGCCAGAGGCTGCAAGGAAGGGAAACCCTGAGTCTTGTAGTAAAACACTGACCAGCTGTGAGGTGGGAAAACTTAAATAGATCACAGAAGATCAGATCACTAAGATCTTGGGTTTAAGGCAAAAACAGGTATTTTTAAACTGTGAGGGGAGCCGTGTTCCTTTTAGGTGTTGGGAGAGCAACATGGATGGGTCTGATTCTATCACGCAAAGGTAGCAACCTCGGGTATTTACCCGTGAGAAGCCTTGTCACAACAAACTTCCTGCTGCCAACCGCATCGCAGGGAGCGGCTGGGTTTGAGGATCGAGGTGTGCTATTTAAAACCATGCGTTGGGTTTTCGTCCGCAGTCTGCCAAGTCTTGTCTTTTGAAGAAGGGTGTCGATTTTACCAGCAGCAATTTGTAGCTATCACAATGGTGGCGAGAACAGAGGAAGCCCCGCCTGGCTCAGACCCTCACTGCAGACAGGCAGACAACAGAGAATAGAAGACACAGAAGGACTCAGGCCCTGCTTAGGAAAATTCAGTACCTACAGACTGTGGGAGAAAAGTTATTACTGGTGTTGGAAGGGGAAAATCTGAGACAATGACCTTCCTTTTACCTGGCTGGAAATTATATCCCTTTAAAAAAAAAAAAAAAGTGTGTGTCATTTCTCTTGGAATTTCAACAGTGTTATGATGGCAAAATGAAAGCATCTCCTTTGAGGGGAAACTGAAGAATGCATCATTATCAAGAATTTGGGGAGGGGTGCCTGGGTGGCTCAGTCAGTTAAGTGTCGGACTCTTGATTTCTGCTCAGGTCATGATCTCCCGGTTGGTGAGATCTAGCTCCGCATCGGGCTCTGTGCTGACATCTCGGAACCTGCTTGCGATTCTCTCTCTCCCTCTTTCTCTGCCCCTCCTCTACTGGTGCATGGGCACATTCTCTCACTCTCAAAATAAATAAACATTTTATTTTATTTTATTATTTTTTAATGTTTTATTTAGTGTTGAGAGAGAGAGAGAGAGAGAGCATGAACAAGGGAGGGACAGAAAGAGGGAGACATGGGATTGGAAGTGAGTTCTTTGCTGACAGCAGTGAGACTGATACAGGACTCGAACTCACAAACTGTGGGATCAGGACCTGAGCCGAAGTTGGATACTCAACCGGCTGAGCCACACTGGAGCCCCAATCAGCAAACATTAAAAAAAAAAGAATTTGGGGAAAGGGGGATTGGACTATTGGTCAGAAAGCTTAAGAACTAGGTTGGGCTACCTCTTCTTTCCAAAAGATCAGAGAACTGAAGCTTTTCTCAATCAGGAAGAAGGATCTGGGTGGGTAAGCCATTCTCCTGGTAGGGACTAAGAGTTTAGGAAGAGGAAGAGGTGGGAAGATGGGTGTGGTCATTGGAGTGAGCTGTTGTGAGGCTTTCTATTTTATGAGGATGAAGTTAACAGGCTTTCAGGGCAGAGGGGACTAGGTGAGACTGGAGGTAGAAGGTTATTAAGCAAGGGACCTCCTAGACATCACCAGGGCAGGAGAAGGGGTGATCACAAGAATGAGCTGAGCAAGACCTTCTGAAGCCTGGGGGGATCTTCCTGGCCAGGGGAGGGAATGCATTACAGGCCAAGAATGGCCAGAAAGGCCAGTGTGAATTCAGAGGAAACCACTTAACAAAGGGACCTTTGCCTGGAGTCAACATTCTGAGAATTTTACCAGACATGGAGGCCAAACCAATTGCTTCCAGATTAGGCGGTAAATCTGAGTACTTCCATCATTCTAAAATATAATCTATAATGGCTTGAAGGGAGGAAGAGAGAACAGGTGAGGCAGTGCGATGATATGGGAAGAGCGAAGGCTTTTCAGCCAGACTTACTGTGTGACCTTGGGCAAGTTATTTAACCCCTCTGGGGCTCAGGCCCTTCATCTGTAAAATCAGCATAATAATATCTACTTTGGGAGGCTTCAGTAAGAAATGCCTGTCAAGGACCAACACAGTACCTGGAAACTGTAGGTGCTTAATAACTGTTAATTTCCTTCCCCTTCCCAAAGCTGTGCTTGAAAGTCGATCATTATATGTCCAGTCGGACTATCCAATATGGTGACCAGTACTAGTCACAGGTGGCCCTCAAGCACTTTACACATGGCTAGTCTGAACTGAGATGTGTTCTGAGTGTAAAAAACATACTAGATTTCCAAAACTTTGGTGGTGGTGGTGGGGAACTAAACTTAAATGTCATATTTATAATTTTATAGTGATTACACATTGAGATAATAATATTTGGGAAATATTGGATTAGCTAAAATATATTATGACAATTAATTTCACCAGTTTCTTTATACTTGCTTTAATGCAACTACTGGAAAATTTAAAATGACTGTGGATCACACCGTATTCCTATCTGACAGTGCTAATCTAGCCATTAGATGTAGCTAGGGTTGGGAAGCTGTGTTCCAGAAGTTTATTCGTTTTTATACTTTGAGTTTATGCTTTGGTTCCTTGTTCCAGTTTCCCAGGAAAAGACCCTTTTGAAAAAGTGTCATTCAGGGCTCAACCAAATGGGTGGAGGGACCTGTGCACCCCTGGTGGCTAAGTGTGGTGATGGCCACAGTACAGGAAAAAGGAGGCAGGGCTGGTATGTGAGGTACCAGGTGGGACAGTCAGAATAGCTGCGGACGGACCATTCCTTCTTCGCCTGGAGCTTCACTCCAGATCCCTCTACCATTCTTTATTTCAGAAGGACCACCCCATTCTCTCTTATTTCAGAAGGCTCCCATCGTATACACGAACTTGGCAGGGAGCAGGCTCCCACCAGGCAGTAATAAACACAGGTGCAAGAGAAAATGTCACTTCAAAGCCACCTTCGGAAAACCGCAGTTTCCAGAGAAATGAACAGCAGACATTCACAGATATGAGAATGTTCTTTTTTTTTTTCTCTCTCCCAAGAAGTGTGGTTGGTTTTGTTTTTTTAGACTGTACATTTTACTGTACATTTTTTTTAAGCAAAGAAAGTTGGCATTTATATTCTGACCACAGGGATGTTGCTTTCCAAAAGCCCCAGTCAGAAACATGACAAACAGAAGTGCAAGTACATATCATGTCACGACAGAGCTTGGGGTCACTGACAGGAGTAGACAGTTGGTTCCTCCTCTTCCGGTGTCCACCATTTTCCCTCTGGGTGTCTGAACCCAAAGGCAAAAAGAAAGGTGGTATTTGGGCTCAATTCTTCAATGGCTACATTTAGAAAGACTGAAGAAGAAAGGTTCAGAGAGAAAAAGGAGAGAAGAAAAACTCGGGCAGGGGAAGAGGAAGGGAAGGAGAGATTTCCTTTCTAGTCACCCAATTTTGTGGTTGCCACCGTGATGGGGGAAGACATGTGCTCTGGCCCCGGGACTGGCCTGGAAAATTAACTTGTCTCGGGAAGAGACTGGCCTGGTCTGTTAATGACTTTGTCAGGACCAGAAAGGGACTGGGGAAGGCAGAGAGTCACAGGAAGGACAAGTATGAAGACAGGAGAGTAGAAGGGAGGAGAGAGGAGGCAGGAGGGATCTGAGTCAGTGGAGAAGGACAAAGACAAGGGATTTGGAGGCTCCTGGGCTGGAGCCAGAAGGCAATCCTGCATAGACAGTTCCCCACCAGCTCCTTGTGTGTTCCGGGTGGGTTTGGGGGCCGCCAGCTCAGCTCTGGGTCTGAGCCTATTAGAACCCTTCAGCAGAAGGGGACTCACCTGGATGTTGTATGTGGTGTGGTTGGCAAGTGGAAGAAGGGAGAAGAATAAAAGAGAGGCTAAAGATCAATGGCAGAGACTCAGAAGAGCAAAGGATGGGTTGGGGAGACCGAGGGAGAGGTAGTATGTTGGCAATGAGGAGAGACCTGAAAGATGGAGAGCAGGAGAGACAGAGATGTAGGAGAAAGCCCTCGAGATGCTTCTCATGCAGTATCTCCGTGGCCATATGTCCTCTGCCCCCTCTTGACATGGTCTGGGGTGTGGAGGTTAATGCCCCTTGTGGAAAGGAGCCCATGTACCCTTCCCATCGCCATATGTCATTTCCACAGATGGATCCTCCTCAAGGATGTCATCCAGGAAAGGCGTCCCCCCACGTGCCACCCTGAGCCACCTTCCTCAGGGACAGACAAGGGATGGACTCTGGACACAGAAATGCCTGAGCCAGGGTGTAGACAGCATAATGAATCCCAAACACCACCCCAGGAAGTGGCCTTGGCACCTGCCCTGGCTTGGTCACTAACTCACTGTGTGACCTTGGGCGAGTCCTTTATGCTCTGGGGGAAAGGGAGAGAGGGCTAAGGATGAGATGTTTGCAAACACCTCTTCAAACTTCAAAACCCTACCATCCTAAAAAGATTCAGATTCTCCCCCTCCAAAACCTCTAGAAGACTTCCTCTGTGTCCAGGAGGAAGCATAGCGATGCTCTACCAGCTTGTGCTGTTGGTACTGCTGATCTGGAAACCATAACGTCTAGAGGCATGGAAGAGTTCATTTGTCCTTAGAACTTAAAGGGAATCCCAAGAGCTGGTACAATCCAGTATTTTGCAAATTAGGAGACTGAGGTCCAAAGAGAAAAAGGGTCTTGCCCAGTATGATCAGCTGGTTCTCCGGTGGTGGCTCCAGAACCCGAATGGAGAGCACTGGACTCCAAGTCCAATGCTCCTTTGGCCATCCCACTCTGCTTTCCTCAGAAACCCTCTTGGCCTGTCACAGGCTCATGGGGACTTTCTGTCCCAGCTTCCCCTGAAAGAGGTAAAAATCCTAAAGCAATTCCAAAGGTTAACATCCTTTATGGCCTTAGGCCTCATAAAGCCCTTCTCCCTTTCCCACACATAAGTCCTGGAAGTTAACCTTCTGGCTTAAGCTGATGTGATGGCTGTGGGGCATCATGTTTAGCAGAGGAAGCTGGGTCAGGCATGGCGGTGAGGGCCCATCCCTCCCCAGTGCTCAGGTGGTTGGGAATAACAAGGAGTCTGGGCAGGGGATGCCCTAGTCTTCCTTCCAAACAAGTGTGGGACCAGAATCGCTCCCTTCTCTTGTCAACTGACAGTAGATAATCTCCCACTACCGGGGCTGCTGGGAACCCGCTCTCGCACGAAGAGTAAATTCTCCGTGATCTGTGTGAATGAAGAGGAGGAGTCTGGGAAGTGGGAAAAATAAGTTGAGGAATAAAAACAACACTGGAGCCATAAGCAATCCAAAGCCGCTTGCTTACACGCTACATTCGTGATTAGAAAGGAGGGAGTCCGCCTTTCCAAACACTCAGGGCTCAGTCCGACATTTTAGCGATTGAGTCCGCTTTCCCTGAGCACACCCCGGCTGGGTGGGTGGGGGGGGGGGGACAGGCCCGGAAGGGGGGGGGGGGGGGGGGGGGGGCGTTGACAGGGAGACGAGACTGTCCCTGGATGTAAACATCACCATGGAAACTCCACAAAGACTTGCCAGTATAGATTCTTTCCCCTTTATCCACCCTGCAAGGGTGAGAGGAGGAGCCTCCCCCCCCCCCCACCTCCCGCCCCACGGGCCTACACCGTGCTCTCCATCACCCACTCGGAGCTGCCAAATGTTCCCCGGGCCCCCACCAGGTCACTCTCCTCAAAGGGCAAGAGCATGCCGTTGACAGAGAGGCTGCGCTTTGTCCAGATGTTCGAGACCCTCCGAGGGGGGCTGTAGCCACCCGGGGCGACCCCTCCGGCTGCCGCAGCCGCAGCGGCAAAGTCCCCCATGTCGAAGGAGTGGCTGCGCTTAGCCTTGCCCTCCAGGGGCAAGGGGAGCAGGCTCCTGGCCCGGGCCGCAGGCGGCCCCAGCAGCGGCTCTCGGTCCGAGTGATGGCCCCTGGCCGATGTCCCAGACCCTCTCCCGCCCGGAGTCCTGGAGTCCAGCAGCTCCTCCTTTCTCTGACTCTTGAGGTCCAGGGAGGCAAAGGCCCCCATCAGGCGGTCAAGGTTGGGCTTGGGGCGGGGAGCAGGCGGGGGGAGCCTCCAGGGGCCCCGTCCCAACCCTGCGGCCTCCCCACTGCCCAGGGAGCTGGAGGAAGAGGAGTCGCTGCCTCGGGCCAGGCTGGCACTGAAGTGCACGAGCTCGTTGCGCACCACCACCTTGGGCGGCCCCGGCACGGGTGCCCCGCTGGGCGCGCTGGCCAGAGGGGGCGGCGGGGCCCCGTTGGTCTGCGAGTGCACGTTGCTGACCGCGGCAGCTGCCAGCTTGCCCGGGGCCTCCTGGTTGCAGACCTTGTAGCGCACCATGAGGATGATGATGAAGACCAGGAGTGTGGCCACGATGATGCCGCCGATGACCAGGATCATGGTGCCACCCAGGATCTGGCTGTGCATCGACTGGCACTGTGGGTAGTCAGCCTTGGTGAAGAACTGGGCGCAGCCCACGATGTTGGTGGCTGTGAGCGTCGTGGCCGTGTCGTCCCACATGGCCAGCACGCACAGGTCGTAGCCGGTTCCTGACACCAGGTTGTTGACCACGAAGGCCTTGTTGGAGGCTGGGATCATCCTGGGGTGGGTGGACGCAGACGGGGAGGACGGTGAGGGTCGGCAGAGGCGGTAATAGAGAGAGTGACGAGGACAGGAGAGGCAGGGGGAGGGAGAGACAGACACGGGGACACAGAGGGAATGAGGTGGAGCAGAGGAGAGAGGGACAGGTGAAGAGACAGGAAAGGGAAGGGAGGGCAGGTGACAGGAAGTGGACAGGAAGCGGTGAAGCAGTCCGAGAGATGGGAGGTGAGGGGTGCAGATAAGGAGCCAGAGAGGGACGCGGCGGGGGGGGGGTGGTGAAAAAGGCAGTGACAGAGTTTCGGGGGTAGAGGGGTCAGCGAGAGGTGCACACGCAGAGCAGGTGTAGAAATACAAAGGCCAGGGGTGTGGAGGGTGGTTAAGAGATGGAGGTCCAGAGAAGAAGGGGGACGCCTCGGGGAAAGAGATGGGAGAGGAAACACGGGGGGGCAGAGGGAGAGACGCGGAGAGGCAGAGAGGTTAAAGGCTGCAGAAGCAGAGACTAAACCAAGGGAGCCCCCTCCCCCAGCCTGACTCCATGGTTCCCTCAGACTCTGGGAGGCGGTGGGCGCCAGGCCCACCCTGGCCCTGCTCCAGCACCCCCCCGGGGGACTCCACCCCTTTTTATGTCCTGGAGATTCATCCACACTGCCGGAGCCCCTCCCTGGGCCTGCGCTGTGCAGGGAGAATGCTTGCTGCTGCAAACCAGATAGAAAGGGTCTAAGCAGAAGAGAACTGGAGGCGGGGAGAGGGTGTTGACAGAGGTGAGGGGCACCACGCGACGTTGACGATGGGAGGGCGATTCTGCTTCCCAGAGAGAAGGGATGATTCCTCCGTCATGGGCATAGCGGGCCAGCCTCATCCAGAGAGGCCTGGAAAGAGATTCTTTGCTTGGGGAGGCCTGGACTGGTCCCTCGGCTCTGGGAGGCTCTGGTGGGGCAGCAGTGTCCCATGCTGGGGCCCGTCCACTCTCCTGGGCCTCTCCCGCCTGGCCCCTCCGGCAGCCTGGAGTTACACCCTGATCTCTAAGGCCCTGTCTGGGTATCAGGCCTTGTGACATCTCGGGAGACCATGCCTGTGTCACCCCATAAACACTCCTGCAGAGAGATTCACCTCGGCCTGGAGGGGCCACGTCCCTCTCTGCCTTTCCCACCGCCCCTCCTCCCAAAGGGCCCTCTGTTCTCCAGTCCCCTACTACTCAAGGGCTCCATCAGCACCCGTCAACCCCTCAAACCAGAGCCAGGCAGCTTAATTGAGATCTCAAATATGAAATGCCGGAGCCTGAAAACTTCCACCAGGGAACTCGGCGCGCAGGATCGGAGCTGACAGGCATTTATTGACATCCCGTCAGTGGGCAGCCCCAGAGGCCGTTGCCTCCCTCCTCATTCTCCCAGCCTGCTCTGCTGATGGGGAAGCCACAGGGGAGGAAACTTTGTCCCCAGCCCCGCCCCTGGCCCATAGGTATAAGAGGTAGGGTGGTGGGGGGGCTGGGGCTGGGGCTGCCGGGGGGGGGGGGGGGGGGAGTTGCGTAATTGCCAGGCCTACAGGCCAGCCCCTTGGTCCCTTGGTTCTATCTGTTTCACCTGGGCATCACGGCAACCCTGTGAGGGTAGGGACTGGTGCTGTCATGACAGAGGAGGAATGGCCAAGACTCAGAGAGGTGAAGTGACTGGCCTGAAGTCACACAGCTAGGACTGCTAGGAGGGGCCACTGGCCTTTAACACTAGTTTCTAGGCCCATAGTCTGGGCTTGCTCCTTACCATGTGATAAACATGGGGGCATTTTTCCTCATCTCACTGAAAAGCCCACCCCAGCCTGTAGACTGTCAGCCACCCCTTCCTTGGAGCAGCGCCTAGAACACCACCGGGGCTCACACTCCTCCTCCAATAGGATCTCTGGTCTACTGGGCCACCCACTGGGCAGAGCCCAAGGAGTCCTATGTGACCAGGGCCACACAGGCCCCTCTTCGCTTCCCCTCGAAGCTAATGATGTAAGTTGGAGAGGCAGGAGCTACATACACCCAGAACACAGACGACACTAAGAGCCAACACTACGTGTCAACTGTAGGCCAGGCCCTATTTTCTATTAACTCCCTTAGTCCTACAGCAACTCTCCAAGGTGGCCACTCCCGCGATCCTTACTCTGCAGACAGGGAGGAAGAGGTGCTGAGGTAAGAGGCAAACATATACAGCTAGCATTTGGCTCCAAATTCGCGCCACCCAGCACCTTGCTGGGACATGAGTAATGTAAGAGCACGTCCATTCGAGGAGGGGATGGCCCAGCTCATTTACTGAACACCTGTTGTGTGACAGGGTTTCCGCATTCAGTATGGCATTCAACCTCTGCAACGATCCCAGGACACGGGGGATGGACCATGAGCCCAGAAATCCTATCGGAGTTTGGCTGTCTCCTCCTGGAAAGCAGACTACCACTACTGCTGATTAATAATAAAGAAAAAGAGGAGTTAACGCCGAGGGCTGGCTTACTATGTGCCAGGCACTGTTCTGAGATCTTTAAGGGGATTAATACTCATAATAACAATTGTCATCTCCATTAGACAGACAAGAACCAGAGGCACAGAAAGGTTAAGCTGCCTCCCCAAGGGCTCCCAGCTAGGAACTGACAGTGCTGGGATCTGAACCAGGCAGTTGGGCCTCAGGGCCCCCACTCCTGACTACTGAGCCATTCTGCCTCTCAGACACTGCCCTGTTTTCCTGAGGCCTCAGGGCAACTTTGTTTGGGCAGGACCCTGCCTGGCCTCTCCCCACCACCCCCCAGTCCCTGCTTCCCAAATCAGGCAAGACCAGAAGGTGATGAGGCCCCAAAGGGCTGTGTTGTTGACAGAGGTGCCATAGGGCGAGGCAGATCCTTGGCACCAGGGATGAGGGGTTGGGCTGGAAAAGCTTTGCACCTTAACTGGCCTGTCAGCAACAAGGCGGGAGGAAAGGGACTACCTTCCAGGATTAAGAGCGGGGAAGCAGCTCCTGGTTCCTGTGTGTGTGTGTGTGTGTGTGTGTGTGTGTGTCTACTTACAGGAGAGCCAGAGCCAGCTGGCTCCAAATAGCCTTGGCAGTCAAGTCCGCCTTTGCCAAAAAAACGGTAATTGCCGAACACTAACCTTGTGCCTGGAAGTCTGCGCACATTATCTCACTTAACCCTCCTGACAGCCCCCGGAGGGAGTCATTATCATCTTTCCCAATTTAGGGAAGGGGGACGTTAAGCAGTTGTCGCTTCCCCTCCCTCGGGGGAGTGGTGGAAATGAGGCCAGATCTGGATCCTCGGGGACTCAGAGCCCACACTTCTAAGCAAGACTGCTTTCCACCCCAGGCAGTCAGGGAGATGAACTGTGCGAGAAAGTCATGTGAAATGGGCACTATTCAAACTCTAGTGACAGAACTGAACTCATCTCTGGCCCGGGTGGCCCTGTCTACCTGCTCATGCTCCATAATACAATCAACTGCCGATCCTCCCGGTGAGAGGTGGAGAGCCTGGGTCCCCCTTCACTCCTGTCCATGCCCCACGGGCACTGTGGTGGCAGGTTCTCCTTCTGGACTTCTCCCTTCCTTCCCTCTCCACACACACACTTTTGCTTAGGTCCTACCGTCTCTGGTGTGCCTGAATGCAGCAGCCTCCAAACGGCCTCCCTGCCTCCACCCGTGCTCCCTTAAAGTCCATGCTCAGCACCGCCATCCCCAGAGTGCTCCATCTGAAACAACTCTGGCCATGCCCCTTGCCCACTGAAACATTCTTCAAGGGCTGCCCATGACCTACAAGAGACAGGCCAAGCTCCCGAGCTGGGCTCCCAAACCGGACTGCCCATCACAGTCTTGTCCTTCCGTTCACACACCCTCTGACTCTGCCCACGGTCTTTAGGAAAACACCTCGGAATCAGCTGGGTTCTTTAGGGGCAGAAGGCACACAGAGGGATATGTTACAAGGACCTCATTACAAAGGGGTAGATTTAGGGATGGGGGACCGCAAGGGAACATGTCATAACCCAGGGTTGATAGCAGCCAAGCTGTCACTCAATCTAGCCCTGAGCATATCAAGGGGAGGTCACCAGATCCAGGAAGGAGAAAGACCCATGCAGGCCGGGCAGGGCTACTCTGTGTGTGGCCCACAGGTCCACGAACAGAGAGTACAGAAATTCAGAGTAAGCATTATGAAAGTTTTCTAGCAATTTGGCATCGGCGTGACATCCCCGTGCATGATCATTTTTTGTGATAACTTATTTCCATTACATTCTTATAAAAGCATTGGTCTCCAACAGATTGGGAAACAGCGCAAATCCCTCACTATGACTAGCTTGAGAGGGACTGATCCAGAGTAGGGATTCTCAGCCTCGGCACTGATGACACTTTGGGCCGAAAATTCTTTGTTGTCGGGGCTGTCGCGGGCACTGTAGGATGATTGCAGCATCCCTGGCCTCTACTGACTGGATATGAGTAGCATCTCCAGTTGTGACGACCAAAGATGTCTCCCCACATTGCCAGATGTCCTCTGGGGCCGACACACTGGAATAGAAAATTTGGTTGAGGGACAGAGGCAGCCAGGGGCAACCTTACAGCACGGGGACCGGCCAAATAAGTATCCTCCTCTCCTCCCTCCTCCCCACCTTCTGCTGTTGCTTTCTTTGGCTGACCCCAACCAAAAGCTGGGGCTCGTGGCTGCACACTGGTCAGCCTTCCAGGGCACACAGCAGTATAGAAGAGGGGATCTGGAGAGGCCACGCACTACATCTGGCACAGCCATCAGGTCACAGCCCTCCTTGCACAAGACACATGCTGAAATCCTCATAGAAATCCTCATAGATTTCTCTCCATCACGGAAACCAGCGACATCTCTGTTAGCAGAAAACATGAATTGCTATTTTAAGTTAAGTTGCCCCAACACATTAAATGTAACTAAGCTCGCGTGTTCTAAAGCACAATTTAAGGCTGCAACCCCAAGCACTTACCCAGGAAAAACAAAACAGGAGTAAGTGGCTGCTCCTGGGTTGTT